GGACTGAGTTTGCTGTTTGCTTTGTCTTTAAATAGAAAAATTGAGTGGTTGGTTCCTTGTAAAATATAAAAAATACAAATAACATGCTTAATCTAAAAAGCATGAGGGAGTTGGTTTTACAAGCAAGAATGAAAAAGAATTCTTGCACGATTGTGCTATTGGCAGTTATGTTTTTCAGAAGTCACATCCAGTTATTACAGATTACTGGTTTACATTGACACGAAAGAGGAATATGGCTGAAACAAGATGAATGCTTATTCAAGATGGATGTTGTCTTAGTTAGGGCATGACAAAACAAAATTTTAATAGTTTAAGCTGTGTGTAATCATAACATTTATACTTTTTTTGTCCTTTAATTTTCTTCAGGCAATTGTCTTGACAGGTTGAAGCATTTTGCTACACTAAGCAAAGAACAGAAACTTAATATTGAATTAGAGCTTTATATTTGCAAATAAAATGTCAAATGTGAAAGGAATATTGGTGTAGGTCAGTTTGAAGTATTTACAGTATGAGAGTAACTCAAGAGTCTCACATCTTCTAGCCTTGATAAGCACAATTTAAGAAAACCACAGTGTAAGGGGCATTTTAAACTCCTGTTTTGTTCATCTCGTTTTGGATGAGACTGGATCAAGATCCTAAGGTAGCATAAATGAACAAGTCATAATAATTTACATATTGAACAGCTGAATCTAGTTCAGTAAAGCTGCATATTCCTCATTTGACAAACTGAAGTTATTACCATTTCTCTCCTTCTGACTTACTATTTGATATTTGTATACAAAATATTTATACTTCCAATTCCGCTTTCACAGTATAAAAAACTAAAGGCCAAAGAGATAGTAGGGAAAAAATACTCTGCAATGTGTTTTGTCGAATGAGTAAAATAGCAAGGGAGGCTTAGCATCTAAGCTACTGATGGGGCATCTTCATGACAGGCAATAAAACTAACAGCCTAACAAATCAAGTTTAGTTGCACTGAGGCACTGGAAATGATTGTTTTGAGGGTCTAGGTCCATTTTTCCTGGATTTTACAGGCCTCTGTGTTACAATTTACCAACACTAGCCTTTCATATTTCTCTTAGTTGAGTGCTTCCCTGATATATGCTGCCCTTAAATTTTGGGGGAGCTTTACATATTCTTTGTATATAAATGAGAATTTTCAATAGTAGTTTCAGACAAAAACAAAGGGATTATGAAAAAGCTGGGGAAGTCTATCCAGCAGCTGAGCAGGCCTTGACTTCATGGTGCACTGGTAGAGGAATTGCTCCAGGGATAAATAAAGGGACTTTATCCCTGGGAAATGTTATTTTCTTTAATGGTAAGAAGAGTAAAGATATCAGCTAAAACTCTATTTACTTTGTGTTGCAGGAGGCAAGTCTTCCTCTGAAACTTCTCCTGCATCTGTAAAGTTGTGTATGCCTGTGATTTTGTAGAAATAGGAAGGGATCAGTTTGCATTGCTGCATGTGTAGAGAGAGGATTCAAGACCAATTCTGTCCATGGACACCTTGATCACAAGGGGATCACAGTTTTCAACTCTTCAGCTCAACAGCAGCAGCAGTCTGCTTCTTAGTCACCAGCTTACATTGCACCAACCTCACATTCATATTCTGTCTCTGAAAGACAAATACCTTCTTACAGAACAGCCTTGTAATCCCTCTGACATGTTCAGTGATTCCTCACAGCAACAACAGTGCGGAGCAAGTGGGTATGTGCAAGATCCTGGGGCATTTTGCACTTGCACTCAGTTTATCTTGCTTTGCAGTCTTTCAAATGCTGCTTTTCTGTCGGGTTAGAAGGGAGCTCAGTACCATTGACATGCAAATCAGTGGCAGTTCCAGATGTTTCCCAAAGACATTTATGGCCCCATGTGGGCCATTGAGGTAATTTTTAACCTCTGGGAGAGGCAGCCTGGCATAGAGTTCGAAGCAGTACTAGCATATACACAGATGAAGGGGCACAATTTGAAGGCAGTAGGAAACAAAATCTCCTTTCTTCTCTAAGACACATGGGATCAACTGCTTTTCTTAACTCTGTGATTCTTTCCTAAATTGCTGTTATTTAGTCTTTAAAAATTACAGGCTTCTGCTGGTACCTGCAGCTGCTAACCAGCACACTGGATCAAGGACTTTGAAGTGCAAATGTTGCAGACAGCCAAATGTCAGCTGCCTGGAAGCTTCCCATGTGGAAGGATTTAGGAGCACCTCTGACTGTCAGGAAGTTTTTATTTTAAGATAAAAATGTACTTCTGTTTCAGCTGTGGAAAAAAAAAAGACAGCAGGTGCAGAACTTCTCATTCCCAACCCCCCCATCTGCTGTCATGCAAAAGAGTTTAATCATTGGATCATGGGCAGTTAACACAACCACATAACCTTGGGTGACAATTTTTTCTCTCCTGGATGAAAAATTAACACAATCCTATCTTCCAAGTAATTTTTGTGGTAGGAAGATAGAAAGTTCACGCTCTGTATTTTATTTGTATTTTTAATGTGCATGCTGAGGCAAAAAAAATCTAGGATGAGATGGCTCAACAGCCACTTAAGTTTCCATCAGAAGTTCACTGCCTGGTGGTGGCAATGTTAGGTCCCTTCTGCCCTTTTTTCTGGATGAAAAAGGGTAAGCTGGGGAGAACTTTGGCTCTTTGAGATCAGTAGTTCTGTGAACACACAGCATTTTACAACTGGACGTCTGAGCATGCTACCTGTCATGAATTTAAAATGCATTTTCCATGGGTTAGTTCAAAAGATTTTTCCATTCATGAAAATTTAACTCCTTACTGTTTAAATGTGGTACTATACAGAGTAACTGTGTACAGTTGCAGACCCCTTGTGCCTCCCACTGTTCTTCAGAGCAGACAGAACAATTATGAATTAGAACTTTAAATATCAAAGCAATACATGCAGTGTAAGAGCAGGACTACTTTCACAGATAAGTATGCTCTTATAAGCAGATGTAGTTTTTGCAAGATTACATCTGTGGCCAAGCAGATTTCCATCACAGGAACCATCTTCACAGAACAAATATTTTCTCCATCTAAGTTTTCATTGCCTTTTTCGCTGGCTGCCTCCACCCATGTGTAAAAATAGGACATCTTTTTCCCTGTCAATTTGTTTGTGGAATACATTAAAGAGAATTCAGAAGGCTGAAGGAGGGCTGAATTTCGTTGTTTTCATATATATTAGTCGTGTTTCATTCTGAAAAAGGTACCTGCCTCATTTGGCAGAAGAGCTGTGTTTAGTTCTCTCCAGATGAACATTTCCATGCTATGTGCGCTTCAGTCTGGGGCTGAAGGGGAAGGAGATGGCAAGAAAACCAGTTCATTACACAGCCGTTATGCCTCACAGTATTTTCCATTGAGGAACCCTCTTCAGTTGGCATTTTAATACAATATTAGTTACTGCCGTATTTGGAAGATGAGATCCTTAAGCACTGATTGTATTTATGCTTTGAACTGTTATTTGTTTTACATGGTTGGGGTTTTTGGATGTGGTCCTTTGAATTCTGGTTTGGCAATGAAATAGGCTGCTTTCACAAAGCCTCTGCAAAGTGCAGTTGGAAAGACTTACACTATGCCTTGTCGCATTACTGATTAAAATAGCACTTACATTTTTCTGAGGGTTTTGTGGTTCCACTGTCTGTGGTAACAAGGCAAACTGATTTATTAATATTTATGATCTAAACTTCTCCCTCTGGAAGCTTTTTTCTTTCACCTTCTACTGTCAGAACTTCACCAAGAGCACTGACTTGTCACAATAAAACAACAGCTAGCAGCTTTCTAATTCATCAAAATCCATTTGTAAGCAAATGTGTTGATTGGAACAGCAATCAAAAACCACAGATCGTTCAGTAAATGAAACTTTCTGCCTTTTTGAACTGGTGGAACTGTTGCAGTAATTACATCAAGTTAAGTATCTTAAAATTAAAAAGTGGAACAATTGGCACAAGTCTGTTGCAAATACTTCACCTTGTCTACGTCTTGGGCATTTGAAAGCTCAGGTTTTTTGTACCCTAAGAAAGATGATTCCTTAAAGCCTTCTGCTTCTTTGAATTGATGGCATTCAGGTGTTAAATGTATAGGCAAGGGTTTATTGCAAGGGAACAATTGGTGGCTCTCCACAGCATGAAAGGCAGATAGAGGTGAGGATGAAACACCCAGGAATGAGCACTAACAGAGTGCTAACCTCTGGGCATGGATGCTTAGTATCAGTGTGTATGCAATGCACGCAGTAGATTGTATCAGAGGTTGACAGCAGTGTTAATAGCTCTCTCCAGCACTAACTTCGTTTGCAGATCTGTCCTTCATCTGCAGATCTACAAAGGAGGTAGAGGAAGGACCCTTTCTGACATAGACTATGCATGAGAACTGGGTTATCTTTAGGGCCCTGGTCTTCAAGTACAGTTGCTCTTCACCCTCATCACGCAGATGGAGGGAGATATTGGATATATCTGGTTGGCTGACCATTGGCGACCATACTGCATACAGGAATAGGAAAGTATACACGTGCTACTTACAGTCAGGAAAGTTAAGACCATACAGCAGTTACAAAAGTCAGCCTGTTCTTTCTTTAATTTATTGTCTTAGTTACCTTCAGTATTTATAGACATACATGCGCTTGGTATTTTGAGTAACAGAAGTAACCTTCCTCAGTTCTTCTGGCCTTTTACTATGTCATATAAGAGGACTGAGCTGAATTAAAGCACACGAACAAAGGGCAGTCAGAGGCAACTGGACTCCCTGGCGTTCTGCAGTTCTGGTCCACACTTCTCATGATAAGGCAGTGTTACTCATTATGGTCATTTGCCACTTCTGCAGTGTGAATCAGTGAACAGATTCAGTGAACAAATCAGATATAGTCTTATGGCAAAGAGACTTTGGAGCTTTGTGTAAAAGCAAGGAAGAAGTAGAAAGAAAGCAGCTCCTCTATGACATTCTGGAATTACTCTGTGATAGAAACCAAGGTTTTATGCTATAATTGCAACCGTTTTGTTTGTACCTTGCAGTGAGCCACCTCTATGGATTTGGACTGATGGATGCGGAAGCAATGGTGATAGAAGCAGAAAAGTGGACAACGGTCCCTCCACAGCATGTGTGTGTGGAGAACACAGATCGGCAAATCAAGTAATACCTGCTGCCAAAACTCTTGCTAGCATAAAGTTATGGAAAGAAATAGGGCATAATTTACCCCTCCCTTGAATTGTGTATAATGTGTCATTTGAAAGCCATACTGGGGAGCTCTGTCACCTTCACAGATATCAGGTCATTTGCCTGTAAACATTGTTCCCTGTTTGGAAAAAAGCCCTAGTTTCAAGAATGCCCCAGAAACTGAAGGTATAAAATGAGCCAGGCTGGATAATGGTTGATTCTGGTGTAGATGGTACTCCAAAGAAGAATGTTTGATTGAGTGCACTGCAGACACCTTTGTAAAATGAGTACGGATTTACCAGTACAGGATCTAACAAGCAAATAGTCTTTTAATTAAAATAATTAATAATAATAATAATTATTGCTTTCAAACAGCCTCAGAGGAATCTCTAACTCAGACACTAAGTCTAAACTCTTTTCTGATGACTACAATAGGGTTTCTGTAGAACAAGGCTTAGGAGCAAAATTCTGCATGTTCACCCTGTGAATAAAGAGATAGTTTCAGTCATAAAGCACATTTCCAAAGCATTAAGGTTATTGTTTGATCAAGTTTGATCTATAACTGATATAGTCTACAAGGATATTGAGCCAATTTAAACCAGTTGAGTCAAATGCCATTTAGTGCAGTTAACATGTAACACTTGCTATTACATAACCAAGGATGGCTATGCCAGGCATTTCCTGGGGCCTAACAAGCAGCTGTGATCCTGTGACAATCCCAACAATTCTCAGCTGGCCACTTATCCACAGATACATTCTGTCCCAAAAGCTTATTCCCATTACAGGGTTTTCACGGTACTTTTTCAGCATGTGTACATACTTAACAGAAACCCAGGTAGTTGTGTTTAGCTGCAGTACAATAATTATCCTGTAGTGATAGTTTCAGCTAGGATGTAAGTGTTGAAACTACCAGTTATAGGCTACTGACTTGTCAGAAACAATTGTCCAGCACTGTCATTCACTCTAAGCAAAAAAGATGTGGTTGCCCTACTTTATAGAACAAGCAGGAAATACTGATGTTGTTTTATATGCTTACATTACAGAACAATACGACCTGACAGCATTGTCCGTTCAATTTACAAAGCCACTGGCTGTTCAGATAACCCTAACCACCATGTGATCTACTTGGAGCATGTCGTTGTGCGCATCACTATTACTCACCCTCGACGTGGAGACTTGGCAATTTACCTAACCTCTCCTTCTGGAACTAGGTCACAGCTCTTGGCCAACAGGTACGGTATGACATCACAACTTCACAGTCCAGCCAGAGTTCAAAGCCTACACCAAGATTGCAGCATTAGCAAAGAACAGTCGTTACAGTAGGTTTGCTGGCAGACACAGGCTAATTATTCTTTTTCTGAGAGAAATGGGGAAAGTGAAGTTCAAATGAACTCTGAAGATGCAATGAGAAGTTGCACTACTACTTTGAAATTAATTTGTAAACAGCCTATTACAATTTTTAAAAGTCAGCCATTTTCTTCATCCGGTGGATCTATGCTGGATATTTGCTTATGAATGTCCAGCTATTCTAACAATAACCACTCAGAAAGACCAGTCATTTTTCTCATCCTGTCACCTCTGTATTATGTTCTTGGAGGAATGATGACAGTGCATCAGATTGTTTCTTTTTATCCAGACTGGACTCAAACAAGTATCTCTTTATCCAGTGCAGCATTTCCAACATCAGTGCAATTTCAGTGCCTGGTGCGTCATTACTATTTCTCCTCAGCAAGTTGAAAGACTTCTCAATAATATTTCCATTTCTTTGGTCTACTAGCAGAACTCTTCTTTCTTGGAAGAGAACATTGGCAGTCCTTCCCAGATAAATCTTGATAAATCAGTGTTCAAAAGCACTGCCTCCTACCAGAGATGGTTAAAGCACTAAGAAACGCCAGAAACCTTCTCAAACTCTACCCCATTTTCAAATGTTCAGATAAGTTACAGTAAGAAATCTTTCTATCATTCTAACTGGCCAAAAATTCTTCTTCCTGATGGGACCATAGTGTGATTGGGAGAATTTCTTTAGGTAACTGCCATTCTGTTGGATGGCTCCCACACAAAAAAATTATGTTACCTGATGTTGTGTATCTCAGAAACAATTAATGTTCCCATGTGTCAAGCCTATGTTGTAAGAACTCCGCTGCCATCATGCTGAAGTCTTCACATTTATATTCCCAGTCCTACTCTTCAGAGCTTTAGTGAAGTGGGAGTGGCTTGGTTTCCAGACTGCCTTATCAATCACATTTGCCTAGCCAGATTTGCTGATATAGTGACTATCTGGTCCTGGAGACTTGCATGTCTTCCCATCCCTCAGTGGTAGAAGGACTTACCTTTCTTCTTGAATGGAAGGACCTGTTCTGGAGCTCAGATGGACTTGATTCTGATGGAAGTGTGAACCTGTATTTTCTTGAGAGATTAGGTTAATTTAAAAGAAAGTGTATACTGAAAATACTCTTTAAGCTTTAGACATTAATTCATCAAATGGAGAAAGTTGTCCTGGGATTTTGGCACCTTCTAGAATATCTCATGTGATTCATTATGCATGTTGTCAGAGCTTTGCTAACAGGGCACACGGTCACACATGTCTGTTTATGTCCCTGTCACACTGAACAAAGAATTTGTCATATGCTAAAGGGTGCAGAGGCAGACTTTTACCCTCTAAGGAGTTACGAAACAGTCTTGTTTTTCTATTCAAAGAAACCCTTCTTTGGTTTTCTATTCAATTTTTATGCAGCAGTTCTTCCATGCTTCAAAATATATTAAAAAAAAAAAAGTTGAAAGTCCCCCAACTCGATATCCAAACAAAACAATCTCGTGTAAACCCAGTGGTCTTAACACAGCTAACTTTTGGCTCTAGGCTTTCATGTCTTGCAGCTGACTCACAGCAAGTGGGAGATAAAGACATTCCAGTATTCACAGTTCACCTCTGGTGATGACTGGTATGTGGAATAGGTACAAAGTTTAAGTCAATCTCTGTAAACCCTATACCTTAGAAAGAAATTATTTTCTGTACCTATGGTAGAAAGAGAGAACACAAATACATGCATGAAAATAAGGTGATCTTGAGCTGTATCTTATCCTACACTGTCAGAAAGCTAACCATAAAAAAAAACAAAAAACCCTCAAACTGAAAAGCCTTTTAATGTTTGCTACTTTCCAAAAAATAAATTATTAATGACATAGTGAATACTTACACAGTTGCACAAGAAATTCCTTTCCCATGCAAGCTTCAGAGATATACTGACTTGTCAGTCACATTTTGCTAAAACAAACAACTCTAGGCTACTAACATTAAGGAATAAATGTACTTCGCAAACCCTAGGTCTGAAATACCTGTAGTCTTCACAATCCCTTTGTTTGGATAAAGTGATGGATATGGCATACTTTAAAAAATAGTGTTTCAAGGCTTGGTTCATTTGGTCTTGCAAGAAGTCTTAACATGGTCTTGCAATTAGTAGTATAATAAACGTTGTTGAGTGTATATGTTTTAGCATCATGTTAGAAAATAAAACTCAGAGTAGGAGTGTTCTTATTCACTAATATGAGAATGCAGTCGTGAGGCATTTGAATTTTAAATTACTTTTTTATAAGGGCATAAGAATAAATGCATTCAAGCATGAGTAGCATGCAGGGATCCATTGGTAGCAAGTATTCTGGGATCTTTTCCTATAGGCAAAGGTCCCAGAGGCTGTTGTACATTGCTGCTGCCTGACTGAGATGCCTTTCTCAGACATACAAGACTTTTTAATGCACACATACATGATTAATAGCAGCATTACCAGCTGTTTTTACTGAACCCAGGGAAAACCTCATTGCTTTACTGCTATTCATCTGGGTTTAATTTGAAACAGTTTGTCAGTAAAATGTCTTAAAGTGCAAAAGGTATATTTTACACATGTGCACTTCTTCACCAATTCTGGAAGAAGAGTCATTGTGTAGTTTCTGGTGCATTGACGAGTAGGTCCCTCAAGGCATTATTTGGCCTTTTTTCTGCATATTTTATCTTTAATGTTGGCATCCCCTAAAATGACTTCAGTAAGAAAACTTGTTAGTCAGAGGCACTGTGGATTCCTTTGCAGTCATTTGGTGGATTACACTGTCACTGGCTTGAGCCTCATGTGCATTCTTCAAAAACTGCATTACAGGGAACATCTGCTTTGTTGTTTGGAAAGAGCTAAACATGATTACATTGGATGTACTGCAGCAGAAGAAAATACAGGCTTGGAAAGCACTGTCTGGTATGAGGATGAGGCTACAGTTAAGTCCAAAGGCGAACAGTATCCCCTTTTAAAAAACAATTGGCCATTGGATTTGGCAGCATGGGGTTCTGAGTGTTTTTGAGACATACCAAGGTCAGTTCTAACAAACAGTACAGGGCAGGCTATGGAGGAGAAGCTAAATACAAAGACGATAGAAGAAGCAAACTTAGGGTTCATTTGTCTCCCACTGAAGTCTTGGCTTGTTTAATTCTTGCCCTTTAAATTTAAAGCAGCTGCTGCCATTCGAACTGCGTAACTGAAATTTTTTAGCCACATGATGGCAAGTTTCCAGGCCACTAGCTTCCTATGCTTATATGGCATGGACATTAATAATACCTCTTTTCAGTAACAAAAGGAAGTATTTTCATGACCATCTTTTTCCTATCATGAAACCTTAGATAATTAGTAAATTTTAATAACACACTGTATGCAGGAAACTCTTAGAGCAAAAGCAGGGCATTCTCATTTAATCTTGCTTGCTAGTTTGCTTCATAAAAAGCTTTGCATATCAAAAGAGGAAACCTTTTTTTTATAGGACCACATTTTGATTTCTAGACCTGTCTGTCTTACATCCTTATTGCAGTTTACATATTATACTTTAATAAAAACCCCAAAATGTTATGTATCCAAGTACGATGAAAAGGATAGGGCCAAACTTTATGCTGAGTCTCACTGTTATGGTAACAGAAAAGGACTCTGGTGCTGTTAAGTCCAGGATGAGCAAACAATATTTTGCTTGTATTATGCCTACAGGATGCAGAAATCCTCAGAAACCATTTCTCGTAATTATTACTTGCTATGCTTTATTTCATTCCAGTTATCTATTTATGTTTTTGCAGAGGAGGTGTAGAAGACAGGGAGAGTGAATAGACATCCCACTACCCTTCTACCAACCAGCCCTTGAACTGCAATTGCAACATCAATACCGCTAAAGATCTTGCAGTATTAACAGTAGATAAGGCAGGGAGCTCTGGAGATACTACAGACACATTAATTGTAAAAAAATAGTAAACACATCTTTCCATTCTAAGAGGGAAAAAAGAATGTTGATTTTCTCAGCTCTGCAGAAAAGACAGGGTTGGAGTTTTTTTGCACATGCAGAAAAGAGTAAATGAATTCATGTAGGTGACACTACCCTCCCCGTTAGTAAAACTGATCCTGGAATTTGCTCTGACTAAGTGCAAGAAGAATGAAGTACAATATATCTGGGATCTAGAGTGACATATGACTTTCTTTGATGACTGAGACTAGTAAAGAATTAATAAGGAATTTACAGAGTAGGCATGTATTGGCTTTTAGAATTCAGTCAAGTTAAGTTTTAATGGAAAATTAGAACCAGTCATTAAAAGTCTGATCAAATTTTCCATAGTTGAAGCAGTATTGAGGACAAGTGGCTAAGAACATATTTAGGATCCGGCTAAATGTCTCAGCTTCTGAGGTTTGTATTGAACCAAATAGAAAAGAGGGGAGCTGTTTCAATGAAGCTGTGGAATAATGCTTGGTATTTCTACTTCCTGCAGGTAGGTTTGTTCCAGCTATTATAGTGAGAATTAAATACTCTTTTCCCAGCCTTGCAAAAACTAGGCCCTCATCAGTCGTACTGTAACACTTACTACATTGAGTTTCACTTAGAATAAACTGGATTATTTGATGGACAGTGTCCGCTACTGCCCCTACCCCAATCAGATGTCTCTTTTCAAACCTAGGATAGTGCAGGAAAAATCTGTATACTCCACACCAGGTTAATTCCTACTCTTGTATAAGCACTTTTGCCTATTTAGAGTGAGGTTTCTGAAGGTTTACTGCAAATTCAATAGGAAAGCACAATAAGTATCAGCTATATAGCTCGCTGACCAGTGTGGTGTGTGGAGCTCAACAGCCTGACATGTCTATAGGTCGTGATGGAGCATTTCATGTGGATATGTGTAGTCTCTGAGGTCAAGTTCTCTATATTTAAAGATTGTGGTTGCTGTAATATCCACTAGTTCAGGCTGGCAGGCACTGTACCCTACTGTTCATGCTAGTCTCAAAAAAACTTTATCATGACAGCTCAAAGATCTCCGTTGCTTCATGAAAGTAACTGTGATGACCGGATGTAATATGGAAATCTTTAAAAAAAAAAGTAAAATATGTGTATGCGTAGATTTTAGATATATCTTTAGATCCATATCCAGAAGTTTTAAGTGATCTTCCTTGACACAGGTGAAAAAGCTTATGAAGTGCCTGTATGCTTTCTGACCATTTCTTTTTATTCTGAGCTCTTCGGTGCAGGTAAGCAGTAGAGTCTGGATGAAGCTTTGTTTAAGTCAGTTTGAGCTGTCCGCAGTTCCTCAGGGGCTATTTCTCACAGACAGCTGATGGTTGAACCCTGTGGAGAAGAGCTGCTCTAAGAATAACTGATCCAAGCATTTTCACATGTGCAGCTTGATGAGGCATGCTGTACTCTTTTCAAACTGTAAATAAAGCTCACCTGAAATCATGTGGCCAATTAGACTAGTGGACAAGTTCTGCTTGCCTGCCATTTTAGTAGGCTGGAGAACATCATAAACAAAGATTTCTACTACTGAGGAGAAAATAGCCTTTTCTTGGCAGCTGCTCCATTGCAGCCTCAGCCATCTGCTTGCAGGGCTTCCTGGTTCTTGGTGTGGTCAGTTCAATATACAAGTAAGGCTGCCAGACAGTTGCAGCTGCAACTTCTGAGTTGGAAAAAAAAAAAAAAAAAAAAAAAAGAAAAGTTCTTGATAATAAAAAACTTCTTTTTTTTTGCTTACACTTTTTATTTTTTGTGATGAGCAATGGTGGTGTTGCCTAATGGATCCCCTACCCCATGGCCTTTTCACACATGAATTTAAAACTTAAATTCTTCTGAGCATTTAGGAACTTACTGATTCTTTGCTAAAAAGCTGGCACACTTATTTGGTTGTTTTTTTAACACTAGTAGATATATCTGTGGGAGACGAGCTTTATGTTCCTACTTGTCAAATTCCAAGAAAGTGGCTAAATGTCTTCCTCTGGGTTTAACGTTTGATTGCAGACTAACATTTCTACTTGAGTTATATTTTTAGATAGAAATGTGGTGCAGTTTCTAGGCTCTTGAATTTGTTTTAAGGAAATAATTACTTTAACTCTACACTCTGTGATATGTATATTCTTATACAGACCTGTATATGGCACGTGAGGAGTATGTCGTAAAATTTCTCAGAGAGAAGAGTCATTATTTTTAAATGTAATGCTGTTCATCGTGAGCAGGCATGTAGTCACATCCACTGTAATTTGAATGTCCTGTTAATAAGAGAGATTGTGTAAGTGAATAACAGATCTGGCCGCCTGTTACGGTTATGATAATGAATAAGTTGTAAAGATTCGAATGCTCTGGCTCACTTTGGTTGTTCATGTTACATGCGTGAGTACAGATGATGCAGATGCATATGATCATGGTAATAAGAATTATCAAATCATTCTAATAATCATACTTAACCATTTTAACAAGTAGTAACCTGTAATACTCAAATAACACTTCATCAGACAATATACTAATAATTTAGTAGTCCACTATAAGTTCTGTATATGTCCTTGCTATGAATTTTGGTTTAGTATCAATATGAAAATAACATCAATTAACTATATGGCCTGGCTCCATGCTCCTTAAGATATTCTATTCCATTTGTATTCCTTTCTGGATAAGGAAAAGTACACCTGAACATTTAATCACTTGATTCATTCATTTTATACCACTGAAAGGGAAATCCATGTACTGCCTCACAGATTCTTTGATTTGAGAGTTTACTGCATAAGCAGAGCAACGCAAAAATACTTGGACACACAGACAGCCTCAGAGTCAGTATCTTTTATTTTTTTAGCTGTTCTTTTGATCTGTCAGTAGGTTTTTGACTTATTTGTGGAATCTTGTAGAAACACCATTCACACATTAAAAGATTCCAGTTTAAACCTTACTTCATAAAATACAGATCTTTCCCAAATAATTCTTTCAAAAAATTAGTCAATTTTCTCTGAAAGAACATAACCATATTTTCCCTATTTCAGTTGGAGATGTGAATGCTTACAGTTACAGCCATAGTGTATTTTTAGGTAAACTGAGGAAGGGAAGTTAACCTCTGATAAGGCCATAATGGATTTTTTTCTCTTCCTCCCAAATTACTTAAAATAATGATGCAGTACTAAAATGGAAATCTGACAGCAATTTAAAATTCAAAAGCATGACAAATAAAAAATACTATGGGAAACATTTGGCTGATTACAGTAAAAATAAACAGCAACTTGTGTTTCTGTGTATGTGAATGGAAGCCCAGTGAATATCGAATTTGCAATATAATTGCACAGTACTTACATAATACTATATAATTTAGTGGCCACAATGGCAAAGAGGAGTACTACTACCTTGACAGATTGACAGGGTGTTTAGAAAGTAATACATTAGTTATCAGCAAAACACAGTATGACAATTTGACAAACTGTTGGAAATATCCTACATAATGACTTAAATTGAACATACCCATGTGTAAACACTGAGTAATAACTGTGTAATAATTTCTACCCTTTCAGTAAATGGTGTGTGCCATGTGTTTGTGAGATTTGCTGCATTCACACAACTGATTTAACAGTGAAATGAAACAGGCCAATTCTGCTGGCAGAAGAAATATATATACACACACACATACAGACTGACGCACACAAAGGCACAGAACTGCATTAGAAAAAAATAGTGCACAATTATCAGAGAAAATGAAGCCAAATTCTACATATATATATTTAAATTTAATGTTATCAATGCTAATAAGAACATTATTATACATTCATTAAAAATGAGAAAAGGTTGCACAAGTGAGAGATTGAATGTCAGCGTTGGGCTGAGTCCTATAAAGTGCACCAGGCATGTAGCATGCAGGTCTATACAGGTCCTATTGCAGAAGGCGTGAATACACAGTACCTGACCCTATGCCTCTGACTTACCAAAGTTTTGACAAGAAATAGGGCATTTATTCACATTCTGTGTGGTGATTTTTACCAGAAATTGACACATACATTGCTTCAAAAGTATTCTGCTTTCCCAGTGTTTGCTGAATTTTACAAACTTTTGAGAATAAAGCTTGAAATTAGCTTAGAAAATAACAGTTAAGAACCATGTAAGTGCAAAATACCCTAATATTTTTGTAGTTTAATGCCAACCTTTTCTCTGTTTTATGGAAAAGGGGTTTAAATCTTATGGATTTTCTACTGAAAGATCTTGGTTTATGAAAAGTATTTAAGCATAGCTATTACCAGTGGAATTTTCACAAAAAGAGCAAATTAAAACAGTGATAAATATATATGCATACTTATATGTATGCACATATAGATTAAAATACATGTAATAGATATCTGTGTATAGAAATATATAGATATAAATATACATGGTTGTATATAATAAATGTTGCAGCAATTTTCCTACTTATGAATTGTGTGTATTTTTCAAAGCTGAGCGGTGTCATTTTATTGGAGGTAAAAGTCTTGATAAGAGTGCACCTCTCATCAATAGTTTTAGGGTACCAGGCAACCTGCTGTTGCTTCAGTGCCTGACATTGTTTCAGTGATCCTGTGGGCACTGAAAAAAACCCACAAATTCTCTTTTGTCTTTCTAAAATCTCATTAATAAACCCCAGTTTTAGATAACAAGATCTCCTGCCTCTTCCCTTATGGCATCAGCATTCCATTGCAGCCTCTGAACTGGGCCCCCATACTAGAAATTATTGTGATCCAGGCCTAAACTCAAACCTCTTCACCCACAACCTGAGTAATTAAATTATGTTAATGTTGATGGTTAGATGTGATTAATCTTTCAGTTTTAGCCAAACTTAATTCTGTCAAGTGTTTGAAGAGAGTTATACCTTGGTCATTTGAGGACTGAGACCAATTCCTCAGTGACATTTTATTTCCATACAAGTCACATATATTGAATTGGTAATGTTGTCTCAGTCACTTCATATTTTTTACTGCTTTTAAACTGCTTTTAAGTATCCCAATCCAAAGCCAAAACCAAATGTTACAGCAATTTTCCTGCTTAAGGGTTGTTTGTGTCATGCTACTAAAGCAAAATATATGCTGTATTGTGTGCACTTTTCCCAAGACACATGAATCCTATTAAACAGTATTAGTTTTGGGATTTGGCGGGGGTTTTTTTAATAAATTATTTTTCCATTCTCTTTCACATTACACAAATGATGACACATCAAGAATCTTTTCCATCAAAACAAGAAACTGTTGAATATACTTGAAATATGTGCGGGAAATCCATTATTAGCAACATTGTGTACGATTGAATGAACTGGCTAATTAGTGTATCATTCAAGATATTGCAGACTTGGGAGCCTTAGCTCCCCAAATAAAATGGTTCACTCAAACTAATGTCATTATTTATTTTAGGCTATTTGATCATTCCATGGAAGGATTCAAAAACTGGGAGTTTATGACTACTCACTGCTGGAGTGAAAAAGCAGCAGGTGACTGGATTTTGGAAATCTGTGACACTCCATCTCAGTTGAGAAATTTCAAGACTCCAGGTATGGCTCTAACCCTTATTTGGACTTTGTGAGTTCAGGAGAATGCTTTTAGTTCATTATACTGCCTTGACTGTTTCTCAACTTTTATTTACAGCTGGAACATCTCACTGGTTTTAGTGTGAAGGCAGAGCTGTAAAGAGCATCGTAGAATCATAGAATAGTTAGGGTTGGAAAGGACCTTAAGATTATCAAGTTCCAACCCCCCTGCTGTGGGCAGGGACACCTCACACTAAACCATGTCACCCACAGCTCTGTCCAGCCTGGCCTTGAACACTCAGGGATGGAGCATTCATAATTTCCCTGGGCAACCCATTCCAGTGCCTCACCACCCTCACAGTAAAGAACTTCCTCCTTATATCCAATCTAAACTTCCCCTGTTTGTTTTAACCCATTACCCTTTGTCTTATCACTACAGTGCCTAATGAAGAGTCCCTCCCTAGCATCCTTATAGCCCCCTTTCAGATACTGGAAGGCTGCTATGAGGTCTCCACGCAGCCTTCTCTTCTCCAGGCTGAACAGCCCCAACTTTCTCAGCCTGTCTTTATACGGGAGGTGCTGCAGTACCTCAGTGTACCTATAAAATCCCTTCCTGTTACCAGAAAGCACTGTAATCAGTGTTTTAAGCTGTATTTTAAGATAGGTATTTGCTAGGCACAGTCTTTTGTGGAAAAAGATACAAAACTGCATCGAAGTGCATGTGTCATATGTGAAATAAGTTATAGTCTCCTTATAGAGGAATCTGCTTTCTTGAATGCTGAATATAGATTTATCAGACAAGTCTTCAACATAAGTTAGAGCAGCCCAGAGTTACTCTGCTGTATTCAAATTGCTTGTGACTTTCATGGCTGATATAAGGCCCATATTTTCTTAGAATCAGAATCATAGAATACTTGGCTTGTATCAGCTATGTATAGGGTCCAGGGATTTATTTTCATGTTGTTTTTGTTTCCTTTGTGTTTTTTATTCTACCCATAAGAAAAAGGGGCATTTATTGGTATTTACACAACTAGAAAATTCCACCATTGGAAAGAAATTCATGGCTTGCTACCACTGGTAGGTTGCAGTGTGCAGTGTCTGGTTGCAGTGTGTGTATGGGCACAGTGCTTAGAAATGGCATTCATCTACTCACAAACTGTGCTCCTAGTAAGAATTTTTGAAGCTACAGGCATTCTTCTGCTTTTAATTCCCACTGCACAGTTCAATTTCATTCACACATTTCAATATGAGCACTGAGTTTGAGGGAAGGGCTTTCAAAGAACTCATGAGAGTACATGCTTACTTGTGTTTGTTGGTTATGAAGTATGAGTATATACTTGCCTTTGGAGTTAATGAAATTTAAATGTTAAAAACCATTTTGAAATAGATACGTTATACACAGATAAGAATACCACTGTTTATGCGTGAATACTAAATACCCTCCTTTAAAGGCTCCTTCAGAGCCCCACATCAAAATAGTTGGAAACCCTTCAATACAAATAATCAAAGGTAAAATATCACTTTATCAAATGTTCTAGATTAAACATGATAGAGATACTAATCCTGTGGATGTACAGGAAATCATTTATCACTAAATCTCTGATTGGACAGTGTATCAGAATGCAATAATATTACGTTGTATAGTTGATCACTGCTTTCTGATAGATAAAAAATGTAAGAAATCTGCTATGAAATATATTTGGGACTAAAATGATATTAGCAATAGAATTAGTTTATAATTCAGTGAAATAAAAGATACCTTTAATTTCTGGTACTAAGTAAACTCACAAAGGAAGTACGAGTTTTCTAATTGATTTACTAAAAGTCAGTTCTGAATTTTAAGACATAGATGTTAACTTAAAGTACCTGAATTTATAAATATATGTCTTTGTGAACTTTGCAATAGGTGATTTTTAAACTTGTTCCTGAATTAGAACATTAATGGAAGTCATAAAACAATTTAAATCAGCCTCACCAAGTGCAAGTGTTTTTATTTTTCTACTACATGAAGAAGTACACATAGACATTGACTAAAATATAAACTTCAGTGCTTTGAGCTTAAGATAAGAAAGGCTATTGTGACAGGGCATGTGCATGTAGTTGGCTATTTTAGAAGAATGTTAATTGGTTCAGTTCCACTCTGTCCAGGAAAGGCCCATTAATGTTCCTGCCACCAGATATTGCGATGGAGTACATTATCTTCCTCTTGGTTGAAATCTGGTTTGTTAAATTATTTGGATTGGAATAAAGGCTGTGTGCAGTTTATGTGTTCAAAGTAACTGTGCCTTTCTGGAACACCAGCTGGTTTAGTCGCTCCTGCAGCTTGCTTACAAACTCAATAGGACTATTTCCATCATGACTTAGAGCAAGCAAGGGCGCAGGAGGAATTCTTATGTATGAACACGGAGTTGTCCAGGTTCCTTACTATTCCAAGTGGTGCATAGGCCCAACTTAACTGGGTTTATACATTTTACTTTGAACAAAAATTAACCCTCTCATTTCAAAACTAGAACTGATGATTTTATGCTGCTTAGATAAATTTTTGTATAAAAAACTCTAATATGCAGACAAGTTTCACTCCACTGCTGCTGAAGTTGACAGAATTGAATGAGAGTTTTACTTCCTTATTTCTGCTCTTAATTAGCTGAATTATGTTGGTTTTAATACAGCAGATGGTCACACAGCCAGTCTCTCTGCCTGTCTCATATTCTCTTATTGCCTGTCTCAGTTGCTGCATAACCTGAATTTTTTAGGATGCTAAACCAGCTGTCATAAGCCAGAATTTTTAAAACCTGTTATGTAATATGAGGCCAACAAGTCCCCATTGAAGACTGAGATAATCAGTGTGATTTTCAAAATTGCTGAGCAGTGAACAACTCTTTATTAAAGTCTGTGGTAACTCTGGGTTGGCCAGTGCCATTTTAAAGTAAACTGTATACTCAAGTGTTTAACTGGAAGAAGAGCATTTTGAAAATCTTGATTATCATCCTCTAGAGCTCTGGAAGAAAAAATCTTCATAGCTGGTGCTTCAGTTTTCATGTAATTTTATCTACAGTGATTGCTTCTCACCATGGTTTCGCAGTGGTGAAAGTTTCTTAGGTGAGTGATGTTAACTACACCAGTAAATGCAGAGCAAAATTCACAGTACACTAAAAAGCAGTATTCATTAAAAGTATTTGGAAAAGCAGCCCTAGACTATGAGCAGAACTATTCAGGGATTCGGGGATGTTTGGTGTTTTTCTTAATTTGATAGAAGGAAGGTATTAAACAAGTAATTTAATTTTAATCAGATTACTGAAAAGATAAAAATTAATTATTTTCAGCCGCGTCTTGCAGTTGTTATTCCTGATACAGCCAGGAATGTCTCTGGACGTTCTCAAGTACGATTTAGGGTAGCTTTTCTGCCTTTGTGTGAACTGGAACCCAGCTCCCTAGCACACTCCCTGTATTAAGGCCTACAAGTGAGGTAGCATGGAGCCATTTTGCAGACTTCATCAGGGCTATTCTCCAAACAACTTTTACAGTCCTTTTATGTCACTAGGACAGTGTAAAAGTGGCCAACTACATTTCCAGCTTTAAAGCCTGTTCCTTCGCACTCCTGTTTTACATACATAGTTGTAAAAGGTCTTGCTGTCTTACTTATTTTAATACATTATATATACTCTTCTCACTGCTACAGTTGCTAATCTCAAGGAACAGATTGCTTTTGCTCTTGTGAGGAATAAATCCTAAATACTCAGCTGTAGAAGAAAGGGGGCAGTAAAGCCAGAGGATGTGGAGAAGGTAGACTTGTCCAGCCAAGGCTTGTGGAGGAAGCTGGCACACTAGAAGAATTGTGCTGGAGGGTTTACTCTTTATTTTCTTTCAGCTGAAGTGAAACACTGCTTGAGACTGGTTAGGGTTTTGCATACATTTGAATTTCACGAGATGCAGTGTGGTTGTGATTGTATTTGGATATGGTGTGGTTGTATTTGGATCCTGGATCACTGTATACGGTCTAGTAATATGTGCCCAGAATTTCTAGAGCCCTGCGGTGGAAACTGTCCAGTAATACTTCTGTTCAGAAAGATTTGAAAGTGCCTGCCATTTATTAGTGGTAGATAAACTCTGCTGTTTGGGTATGTTGGGGTTAGTCACCTCGGTGAGTTAACAGAAGGTGCTTAAACACAATTTATGGTGCCTCACTAGTTTATCACCATAGCCTGCAGTTTATCAGTGATATCACCATCATGCCTGTTTCTTTTTTCTATTGAGTGCATGTGTTTGTTTAGCTAGTGAATGGTCTTATAATTAGAGGCTGCAGTTTTCCTGTAATCAAATTGAGAACAAAGAGCCAACATGTCATCATATCGCTACATTGGCAAGGTAATGCCACATCTGTTACCTGTACAAAAATTCAGGGTCCACTTCATAAAAGTAATGCATGTGATTTCCGCGCTTAATTCTGTAGAGTTTATGGAGGTGGACATGTGCTTGCTATGAAACACTGGGATACGCTCTTTCTCCTATACATACAATATTGGACCTCTGTTACATACTAAATACAAGCAGAGTAAAGAATTATTCTAGCCAAGATAAATGATGGAATCAGCCAGAAATGGGGAAAGATTTTGGCTCAAATGTGCACACTTTGTTTATTCATTATAGAAGTATAAGTATATATACTTAGTTATTGAAATATTTTCATTGTGCAAATTAAACCTGCCTTGAGGCAGACTTCATTTATTTGCTGGCAAGTTACATGAAATTTTCCCCGTTATTTACTGAACCATTCTTAAAAGGCAGCTAATCTTCTGAAAGACCCTGCACTATTTCCCTATTTTGCTGCCCTTTTGCACCAATTCTTCCTGCAATAATGTTAGCACAAGCCCTTCCAAGAGTATGAAGCCCGGACAAAATACGCTGTGCCTGAGGAGCATCTTTGTGGTTATTTTCAGTGGGTCCTTGTAAATACCTTTTTTCTTCTAGTGTGCAGTATTTTTACCAATGTTCTGGAAGAAGTCTAAAATCAAGCCTTAGTTTAGTGATCTTCGGAGCGTAATAGTGACAAAGATGAAAAGATCTGAATGATGTAGCAAAACACTTGTTTTTTTGATTGCATACAATATATCATGGTCTGTATGCTGTACAAGTGGGTTAAAACACAAGAAGGATAGAAACTGTATGTGGAGAAGCAGTACTTCAAAAGGGCTGTAGAGATGACTGCGTATCTGGTTAAAAATGAGCTCCCTGTGTAACTTAATTTCCTAAAAAGAACAGTGTCCTGAAGGACCCAGCTGAATCACTCTAAGGAACATTGAGAGGTAGCTTATCACCACATGTCTATGCAGGAAGAAAATGTGTGATTTGGGCATTTTTAACCTAGTGGTGACTAAAGAGGCTTTGCACGAGAGGCAGGAAAAGACAAATTGAAAATACAGTGCATGCAGGTCTACAGCCAAGGTAATCAGCCACTAGTTTGGCAGTAGACATAGTAGGCTCTTCATCAGTTATTTTTTTAAATCAAGATTGAATGTCTCCTTAAAAACAGTAATGGTTTGATGTAGCTGTGAGAAGTTGAAAGCTGCTGTGTGAAACAACTGTCTTGTGACATAGCCTCTTGCCTATAGTTTTTTCTCAACAACTGAGAATAGAGCAGAGAAGGTTTCAAGTGAAATGTAGAAATTTCTGTCCCCAAAAGGTTAAATTGGTTTGGCAAGAGACAGAGACAAAACAGAGATTCCTGTCTTTAAGCCCAGTATAAGCCACTTAAAAGAGTTGGACTATTATCTGCCAGGCAGTAGTTTTGCTTGTTGTTGCTTACTGCTTGAAGGATGAATGTAAAAGCAAAGACAGTGTATTGCCTTGGGCATGTCAATGGATGATACCAAACGACATTGGGAAAAATACAAGAAATCACTTGTAAAGGTCAAAGTAGTTTGCTTGCGCAGATTGAAAAGGTCCAAGCAAACAGTATGGATGGCCGCACACAAAAGAGTTATGGTCAATGGCTCAGTGTCTGGCTGGAGACCAGTTACGAGTGGTGTCCCTCAGGGATCACTGTTGGGACCGGTCTTGTTTAACATCTTTGTTGGTGACATGGACAGTGGGATTAAGTGCGCCCTCAGCAAGTTTGCTGATGACACCAAGCTGTGTGGTTCAGTTGATACGCTGGAGGGAAGGAATGCCATCCAGAGGGACCTTGACACGCTTGTGAGGTGGGCTGATGCCAACCTCATGAAGTTTAACCATGCCAAGTGCAAGGTCCTACACCTGGGTCAGAGCAATCCCAGACACAGCTACAGGCTGGGCACAGAAGAGATTCAGAGCAGCCCTGAGGAGAAGGACTTGGGGTGCTGGTCGATGAGAAAAAGAACATGAGCCAGCTTCAGTGTGTGCTTGCGGCCCAGAAAGCCAACAGTATCCTGGGCTGCATCAAAAGGACCATGACCAGCAGGTTGAAGGAGGTGATCCTGCCCCTTTATTCTGCTCTTGTGAGACCTCACTTGGAGTATTGTGTGCAGTTCTGGTGTCTTCAACATAAAAAGGACATGGATCTGTTGGAACAAGTCCAGAGGAGGGCCACGAGAATGATCAGGGGACTGCAGCACTTCCCATATGAAGATCAGCTGAGAAAGTTGGGGCTGTTCAGCCTGGAGAAGGCTGCGTGGAGACCTCATAGCAGCCTTCCAGTATCTGAAGGGTGCCTATAGGGATGCTGGGGAGGGACTCTTCATTAGGGACTGTAGTGGTAGGACAAGGGGTAATGGGTTCAAACTTAAACAGCAGAAGTTTAGATTGGATATAAGGAGGAAATTCTTTCCTGTTAGGGTAGTGAGGCACTGGAATAGGTTGCCCAAGGAGGTTGTGAATGCTTCATCCCTGGCAGTGTTCAAGGCTAGGTTGGACGAGGCCTTGGGTAATATGGTTTAGAGCAAGGTGTCCCTGCCCATGGCAGGGGGGTTGGAACTTAATGATCGTAAGGTCCTTTCCAACCCTAACTATTCTATGATTCTATGGAAGGTCGAATTATTGAGTATCATTAAAATGAAAAAAAGAGGAAGATTTACCTTCACCAGGTAGTATAGACAGAAAGGTAGGAACTGGAAATTCACACTTTGTAGGAGGCAGCATGAACTGATGTCTTGATACATATTTAATTTTTCATTTTTCCCACAAAAAAACTTGCCAAAAAGTCAGATAATGCTCCATGTAGGCAGACTTTTTTTGTTTCTTCACTCAAGTAGTGTGAGGATAAAATATTAGTGATGAACGCAGAAAATGCAGTGATATATCTGCCAAAATAAATAAGAAATTGTGCTGATTTGGGAGGGGACACTCAGGTACTTCCACGGAGATTTTAAATGAAGCTGTTTCCTGTTCATTGGTTGAAAAGCATATACATTTTCCAAATAACTGTATGGCCAAAGAGTGTGTTGTTTATTGTTTGTATTGAATTCAACCTGTGGTGCAAACTTTTTACTAGACCTACAACAAGCTGGAGCACAATGAAGATATCATGTAAAATTCTGATTGAAGAAAGTGTGCTTTCTCAGTTTAGAGTGAAGCAGTGATTACACTATCCATATTAAACTGAAAACACTTACTTGAAAAGTGGTTTCCATACATGCTCACAAAGTCATTTTAACAAGGGATATGGTTTTGTAACACACAGAAAATCTAAATGGTTTCTAAAAATAGATTTTAAATACTTCTAGGCAAATTGAAAGAGTGGTCCTTGGTACTGTATGGAACATCAATCCAGCCTTACTCACCAAGAAATGATTTTCCAAAAGTGGAAAGAGTGCGCTCTAGTCCAGTTGAAGACCCTACAGAAGATTATGGAACAGATGACTATTCAGGTGTGTACATTCTGTTACTCTGATTGTGCCTTCACAGAATATGTAGTGGGTTGAAGGAGTGCCCTGAGACTCTGCATACATAAAATATTAACAAACTGGATTCTTAATTTAGGGTCAGAACTATTTGTTTCATAATTTAAAGTTAGATATTGTCATTTTATCCATATGACTTTGTAAGCATAGAGTTACGTATTTTTTAAGCTACATTTAATATACTATGAAGAAAGAATGCACTGCTTTTCATATAAGTATATAAAAATATACATTCATATACATATATGAAATATATTCATATATACATTATAGTCTTATACATATATACAAATGTGTATATGAAAAACATTATCTTCTACATCTGTATTGTTTCTTACTCATCCCTACAGAATTTTTTCAACCTTACCATTAGTCTTTAATAGAACTAGATTTTTGGCACTGCAAAGTATGTCAAGTTGGTACTTCCCTATATGTATTCCAACATGAGGAGCTTCGTGTAGATGGTTAGGGCTGATGAATCTGAAGTATTGCTTTGGTAAGCAAAACAGCAGGACAAAGTTCAGTTTAGAAGTTCCTGTTTTTACAGTCTCCTGCATGTCAGTATGTCAGACCCACAGTTCCAATTTAGATTAAGAACTGCTGAACTCTTTGTTGTGGTAGGTGATGAAACAATACTTTCTCTGCTGGAAAGGTCACTAAGTTCTTAAGTTTTTGTATGAAGCAGACTCACTTTATTTCAAGTTTACCTGAGATTAGGATAAATTTCAAGGTGGCTGTCAAACTCAAGACTTTTCATTCATGAGAGGGCAGTGATCCTGAAAGTTACAACTTCACCCATGGGTTTTGTTCATCTACATAAACACAGGAGTTGATGGTTTTCTCCTTGCACAGCAGAAAGGACCTATTTGAAAACTGTGAACTATCATAGAATATCTTGAGTTGAAAGGGATATATGAATTTTCAAATCTAACATGAGATGGAAGACTTGCTAATAAGTAATAGGTAAGGTTTTGCAGCATGTAGCAGCTCAGAAGAAATCACATCTACGCCTTTGTGCCTGGTTCAGTTGGATTGTGGTAGTCAATTGAACCAGTTGTTATCCAGCTGGTAACCAGAGTGGTAGCCACCAATCGTGTTGTTCATCATTTATGTTGCCCTGCTTGTTTTAAGTGATTTTGCAAATAATTCCTCATTATGAAACAGAAGTCCTTGCACATTTCTGAATAAAATTCAGAATGATTTGTCACTTATTAGGAAAGCATCTGTTTGGATCCAGAAATAGATTCTGTGATAGATTCTGTGGAGAATGCCACACTTGCTAGAAATCATAAATCCCTGTTAGTAAATACTGAGACCAGGATTTGCAAGGTCTTTTCGTACTAAAAATCTGTTTTTAGTGCAGCCAAATTTCTGTTTGGAATTCACATCAAACAGGGAAACAGTGATTGCATTATCCATTAAAATAATATGTTTTAAGGATGCTAAGTACTAAATGAAAAGTTTTAATCCCTTCTCCCCCTGTGTCTGGTTTTGTTACAGGTCCCTGCAATGCAGAATGCAGTAAAGTAGGGTGTGATGGGCCAGGACCAGATCATTGTACTGACTGTCTGCACTACTACTACAAATCTAAGAACAACACGCGGTAAGAACAAGAGAAAAATATCTTTGCTTCATGAATTTCTTAATATATAGCTTAAGTTCCTTTCCTCTTCTATTTGCTGCAGTCATGGATAATTCATTTGCCAGTGAATTTGACAGATTTTCCTAGGAGTTGAAAACAAAACCCCAGTTAATCAGAAATTAAAGTACAGCCTTCGAACGCGCTTCTTCTCTGATTATTTCCCCATGTCTTGATTATTTTTTCATGAAACCGTACATGTATATGTGTATATATACATATATATATATATATAAAATTGTGATAACTTGTGTGATTGAGTTTGAACAAGATAGGAAGAAATGTAGATGGTTATAAATTATATTGTATGACTGTCTGACAAGGTATTTGCCAGTGAGATAGCTTATTTAGTAGGGAAATAGATGGAAGAGGCAGCTTGATGCAATACTTTGGAGGGTTACATCTTAGTAAACACGTGATCATTAGAAAAACAGTAATGCTGAGAAATATTTCTGCTTGGCAGTCATGGTCCAGGAATGTAGTGACAGATTATTTCATTAACGACTCTGCCTTCTCTTCCCCGCTATCTGCAGGATCTGTGTTTCGACCTGCCCACCTGGTCACTACAACGCAGACAAGAAACGCTGTAAAAAATGCTCACCCAACTGTGAAACCTGTGTTGGAGGCCATAGTGACCAATGCATGACCTGTAAATCTGGCTACTACCTGAATGAAGTAACCAATAGCTGTATTACCAACTGCCCTGATGGGTTTTACCTGGATAAGAGTTAGTATTTCTTGTTGTTTCTTTACTGTGGCTACAGAATTTGATCTGGGGACGTTGCTGGAATACTTACAAGCAGGAAAAGTGTATGGTGATTCGTCTGTCTCTTATTCTATTCCTCTTATTAAATTATTGCCAGGTATGATCAAGAATCTACTCAATATCTTCCTTTATTTTAAAAAACATGCTTAATGGCACAGTAGCGAAGGAGGGCAGTTCAAGAGCAAGTCAGCTGTAGGACAGAGCAGGTTGTCACTACTCCAGAAAGTGACAGGCAGCATGCACATGCTGAACATGAGGCATTCTCTGTTTCTCCAAATTCAAATGACATGGTGTCAGATAGAAGAGAGAGCTGCAGAATCGACCATAGGCACTGATCTGGAATTCTAATTAAAATAGGCTCCTTAGATGCAAAATGTTGTTGCAGTTAATGTTTTTGACAGACCTACATACCTGCAGCGATGTAATGACCCAAGAGCAGTAATCCTCTGCTATGTGAGACACCTGCCTTCAGTTTCCTCCTGTGATTGCCAAGTAGACTGCCCATGTTCAATTTTCAGCTTTGGCTAGCCAAGGTACTTAGACATATATTCAAACAGGCACTTAAAACTGCAATGACTTTGGCCACATTGGTAGAAGATAAATATATGCTCAGGAGCTTTGTTCATCTAGGTACCTTAACCTTTTGCTTTCTGCATCATGAAGCTGTGTGTTTGTTTTTGAGAATTAGTAAAAACAGGTACTAATTTAATTCTTCCATCTTTCACTGCGTGAAAACTACAGTAAAGGGAATTCCTTTACACCCAGTTAAGAGGGACAGATGAGAATTTAGGATTAAATGGGAACATCAGATTTTTCTTCTCAGAAAGGTACATGGCACTGCATCTCAAAAGAGAGCAGGTCCAAATAGAGAGAGAGACATCTTTTAAAACAGGGAGCTCGTGACATGAAAAGGCAGGGGTTAAGTAATTTATGTGTTGACTGCGTTAAGATCAGACCTGTTCATGCAGGTGTGCCTTTCAGCTTCAAATCAGGAAAACAGGACAGGCTGCTTGAATGGGAAGTGTAAAAGGGAAATTGCAGGATGGTCTTTGGAACAAAGGGAGTCATTTCTGCATATCACTGCTATATGAAAAGATGAATCGTCCATATTATAAATAGTTAATGTAAATTTTTTAATGTTTATAAAGATTTTTAATGCCCTCAAAACATCTTTCTCAGGGTACTACTATAACTTCAAATGTTTAGAAATAATTAAACCATTGATGTTTGATGAGAAAAGCTAATGATAGACAGAATTTAGCTACTCTAGTCTAGCTTGCTGTTTCCCTTCCTGATGTCAAGCTAGAAAGTAGTAAGTTGTGTAATAATATATCCATACAGTTTTATTAAACTGACCAAGGTCTTCTGGGCTGTTATCTTTTTTACTTTGTAGATAAGATTGTTTGCCGAAAATGTAGTGAAGACTGTAAGACATGTGTTGAATACCAAATCTGCACAGAATGCAAACATGGCCTAAGGTAAGGAAATGATGGATGTCGCTAAAGACCATACCTGAAGAGGTCTACAGGGTTGTGAATACACAATGAAGAACATCAGATAGCTATTTAACCTTGAATGGCCCTCATTTCATATGTTTCATCACTGTTTAGTTTGTAAAGTTGTATAGAATTTTCTTCTACTACTGCCTGCCAGCTTGGCTAACAGCAGGTTTTTAGAGGGTCTTTGATTTTAGGTAAAATAAAAAGCACAGTCATATGGCAAGCTGGCTTCTTCACTTTTTTGACCTATAGTCAAGCATTATTTTGGCAGTAAAGCTGATAAATCATATTGAACTTTCTGATTCATTCCTGTGATGGTTTAAAAGTATTTTCTTATCTATACTGTATTTCTTCAGACATCCAGTCATTCACTTATCTCATCTACCTCAAGCTCAATTCTATTACAGTTTAGTGTGCACGTATTTTAAACAGCAGTGGGTATTTTTTTCTTCATAGGAGGACTTAATCATTCTTGAAACTGGTAGGTGAAACCTACAAAGCAGCAGTACACATATCAAGCTCCTTTATGAATGAAGGACCTTTTGATCCAAGCAGTAAAGGCCAGAAATCTTGTAAAATTCATGAGGGAATGAATGCTGGCTTTATGCCACAAAAAATAGGAAGTCAGTATTCAGTATCTGTAGGGGGCTGTAGTTCTTCTTGCAGAATATGAGCATGCTGCAAATGTTTTAGCATGGAGCTTTTACCGTCCATCAAAGTAGATTTTCATTCTTAGTAAGAGCTGAATGTTGTTTGCCTCTAGGACATCAATAGCTGAATTTCTTTACATTTTGTAAAGGAATTCTCATTTCTGTATATTTATGTTGCATCTAGATTTTCCAAGTGCCTGCACAAGTTTCGTTATGAATATCTATTTTTTTTAAAAGTGACCTGTTGAAAAGGAAATGTGATCTAATCAGAAGGAAAGCATGGATCAGATCAGAACATTGGTCTATTCATACTTCTGTGAAGTGCAAGTATCTGCTTCCCTTTTAAAATGTTAATTAATTTGCAGTTCATGTTAAGATTTTGGAGAAATTTAATATACTCAGCATGACCTTCTGTGTAACTGCTAAATCAAATTAGTAAATTAGCTGTCTAGAAGTTCCTAGAATGAGCAAATATGCCAGGAGACCAAAGATGACAGTTAGGGACCTTATAGGACACAGTCGCTATAGAAAAGTTATGCCCACATTTTCTTTATCTCCGGGAAACTGACTTTCCCTATCTGTTAACAGAAACAGCAGCTTGTAGCACCAGTGAAGAAAGTAGACAAGTCTATTCACTGTGAGGAGAAATCAGAACATTAAAAAAAAAAATAACCACAAAAAACAAATTAACCTAAACTTCATGTTTTCTTGGGCAATGTTAGCAAACTGAGATTGACTTTTAGTAACGTTTTGGAAAAACACCATCTGTGTGGGTGTGCCAGATAAGTGCAGCCTTGCAGAGCAATCATTTCATGCTCGCTAGTTGTTTGAAATTTGCTGCATTTTCTTGACAGAATTATCATTGGTCACAGCCCTGTGCAGGTCTTGGAAGAGCTGGATTCCGGTTCTGGTTCTGTTACTGGCCCATTAAATAAACATGGGCAAATTATTAGTTCTTCCACGTGTAAAAACATGATAATGCTACCTGCCTTGTAAAGCACTTTGAGATGTGTGAGTGGGGAAAAACAAAAAGAAAGCAGGAGTTGTTAGATGTGTTGAATGGCTAGTTTGCTTATTTTTATTTTCTTTTTCTAAATTGGGACCATACACATTCTTGAAAATTTCCAGTGGTGCTGAGCACACGTTTGCTGGATCCAGTCTGTAAAACAGGGTTTTCACTCACTCAAGGTAGCAATCCCCAGAGCTGAAGAGCATATTTAGAGAAAGAAATCGGATGAAAGCTGAAGTTCCACCGAAGATGGCAAACCTGGCAGAAAAGTCCTGTCTTAAGGGGGAAAAAAACCGCAACACAACAAAACAACCATAAACCCCAACACCAAACTGCTGTAGGCACCTTATAGCATGAAAAGCACAAACAGCTACTTAGAGAGAAGCACAGAAATGTGACTCTATGCTATTTCTTTCTTTCTGTTACTCACTCTTTTGGCTCTCTTTAAAGTGCCCTCAGGGAGAGCACCTCCAACTGTAATCTTGACAAATCTCCCCTGCCATTCAGTTAGGAGTTTTCAAAGGAAACTGCTGTTGCAGAAAGAGGTGGTGATTTCCTTCACTGTGGGTGTGTTCTTAACCTGTGCTGTAGTGTAATGTCAGGAAATACTGCAGGTCTTTTCAAGAGAAGCTTGAGATGGTGTAAAAAGTCCCTTAGCATTATTTTTTTAATACAGTGATGCTGACCCTGTGAGAAATTCCTTGTGGGTAATTGAATTTGACATGCCTGAATTTTTAGTAGTTTTTGGTATTGTTCATTTTCTTCCCATCCCCTACTACTTGGTAGTATTTTACAAAAAGTTTGTAAGGTTGTTGTCTCGAAATTCATAAAATACTGCCAATGAAGGAATCTGGTGAATTCTAAGGTATTGATTATTCTTTTATGAAAAGATAATTACTCGTTTCTGCATGACATTCTCCTCTGTTGCTGTTATCTGCCCAAACACTGTCCTTTTTTCCTTTTTATAATAGTTTGCATGGCACTAAATGTGCTATCCGCTGTGAAGAAGGAAAATACCATAATGGTAAAGAATGTGAACCATGTCACCGTTCCTGTGCAACATGTGCAGGTACACCACTGACATCTGTCTGCATCATTTCCTTTCCTCTATGTTTTTAGCTCTGATTATATTCTACTATGTCACACTTACCGTTTAACAGGATTGTTTACATTTAAAAGGTTAATTCTCTTGACAGTTCTTGCATATATTTTAAATACAGCAGACTTCCTTGGGATAACATGAAATTCTGAGTTTTCTAATTGAAAATGTGTATAAAAGCTTTTCCTTTTTTTTTCTTATTTTTTACCTTTCTCCTCCCTCCCCCTGCCATTAGTAGAGTTTATTCTGATTTCCAGTAATGCCCTCCATTTTCTTTCTGGGATGTAATAATGACTGATATATTTTGTATGACTTTCAGAACTACCAACAGCTATTTCTTTCAGAAAAATTTACTGAAATTATGTAGTTTATTCAAGCCACATACCTTTATTGCTTGATGCTGCTGTTTGAAAGAAAGGCAGGTAAAAAAAGTATCTAAAGTTATAAGGTTTTGCCACCATTAAAGGTGGTGTCTGTTAGGCAATAAGAGGAACCGGCCAGTAATACAGTATATTTTCTCTCTGGTTTAAGGTGCTGGAGTAGATGCCTGTATAAACTGCACACAAGGTTATTTTATGGAAGATGGAAGATGTGTGCAGTCCTGTAGTAGTGGTTATTATCTTGATCACTCTACTGAAAGTGGATACAAAAGCTGTAAGAGGTATGATCAGTGGCTAATACATGTGTCCAATGTTTGGCAGTATATTAGCTATTCCTGTGTTGAAGAAGATAATGCTTATGAGAACATAACATCACTACTGACTTAAAAAAATCAAAAAATAATATACTGCATGCTATGCAAATGAAGGAAGACTGTTTTGGTTTGGGGTTTGGTCTTTTAGAGTTATATTCATGCAGGTCTTCTAAAAGTGTTTTTTCTTATACAGATATGCGTGCCCTTCACGCATATGTATATGTAGATATGCATAGGCATGTTTTATATTTATAAATCTGGTAGAGGATCTCAGTTTCTGAGTAATAAACAAAAATAGTAAGAATAGTGGGGGTTATTACAAGTTAATCATTATTTACAGGGACCATTCCACAAACATGGCACAAGTGTATCACCAGACTACTATCCAGAATAGCTCACCTGACTCTGTGTACAGATGTGTGGATAAATCTTGGACAAGGCTGAGCTGTGGAAGGAACGGACATTTTTTCCATTCCATTCTTTATTAAACAAATACCATTTGTTGCTCTTTGGAATCACTTATTATTCACTCACATTGAGTTCACGACAGGAAGGGAATCACCCTGTGTTACAGTTTTACACACATGAAAAAATTTACTTCCAATGAAAATATGGTGGAAGCAGAAGGCTGATGAAAAAGACTGGGCAGCAGGTCAGTTGTTTTCGTCCTGTGGCTTTAGCTCATGTCTTGCTGGCATTTGTATGCACGATTAGCTTAATGCTTTTGTTGATTACTTCTGCATCGTTCCAGAATAGTAGAATAATACAGCTATTTAGTAAAAAGTGGTTGGAGGAAAGAAGCAGGGATAGTTAATTACTTTTAATTATTAATAGAGCAGTTGATACCTTTAGAAACAAGCCCTCTGCAATACAGAAGAGGGCTCCTATGACGAGACCACGAGACCAACTCCTGTCACTCTCTTTCAGATGTGATGCCAGCTGTTTGGATTGCAGTGGTCAAGGAGACAGAAACTGTACAAGCTGTCCAAGCGGCTATAACCTGGACACTGGTGTCTGCGTGGTGGGAACAGTCTGCAAGGATGGTGAGTGAAATATATCTGAAGAGATTCATTTTACCACTGCCATCTTCTTTTACATGTATGGGTTGGTTTGGTCTATTTCTTTTATTGTGTTACAGTCTTGATTCGAGGCCTACATAAGTTCTTAATTTTTTCAGTCTTATGAAAAGGAGGAAGCTACATTTGCATGTATTAACAAGATTAGTCACATCCACTTTACCTGAATTTTCCTAAAATACTTTCTGCCCTGCCAACAACCTACTTTTACTTCCTTATCTGTTTTTCAAAAGCCATTGCTTTCAAAAGGTTTTTATCTAAAGACCCTGATGTAGTATCAATAGAATCACTATTTATTTTTCCACTTTAAACTGTGAAAATGCTAGTAAGTAAAAAGGATTTTAAAACCCTGTAGTGTTGCTTGAATTATGTGAAAGGGTAATGAGAACAAAAGAATTCTGAAATAAGGAGCGCCCAATTTGTGGTGGAGATTTGAACTTCAGAGAAAGTTCAGATCTCCACTTTTCCTCTGAAAAGTTTTCTGTGGCAATCAAGACAGCATTCTTATTGCGTATGATTGGCATAATTTTTCACTAATATTCATTCCTTTCAAATATCACAACTACAGAGATACTTAGTAACATCTTGCTTCCCTAAAAATGTTACTATGTGAATTGCTTCTAGATACAGCCCAACAAGTGCAGTCCAACAGGAAAATCGTACCAGAACAAAGTCCAGTGTTAAGCCATATGGAAGATACCTGACATCAGATGTACAAAAAGCTGACAATGACTCTTGGCTCCAGCTCATTTCTGCTGGCTTTAGTGAGAGTTTTACCGAAGACATTAAATAAAAAAAAAAAATGCTGCAGGTCCAAGTTTTGTTTTTATGGACCTTTACAGCTCCTGTTGGAAATCAGGCCTTCAAAACTTTGACAAGTATCCTGTCTTTCATAAACTGACATTAGATACTGATCACAAGGCCTTTTCACGTCATTGTAATCTAGAGCAAGTCCAGAGAAGGTGAGATACAGATGGATAAATGACGAGGAAGTGTAACACTGTGAGTTTTGACTAACCACCATCTCCATTGAATTCTGCAGTGCAGATATTTCGTGTACCAGTTTGGTCTTTTAATATGGCTGGATAAATCTGTCCTCATTTGTACACTTTCAAATTCAGTTAGATACAAATGTAGTTGCCCACAACTGGGGACACACCGCATCTCACAGTGGTCTCTCTGATTCTTCAAGTGCAGCTTCCATGAAAGCGAAAGACCAGTGTGTGGGCCTTCAGGCAATTGCAGTGCCCTCACTGCACAGGATCCCACCATACAGCACATGTTCTCAACAGACTAAGAGAGGCAAGGAAAGTTTGGAAGAATGTTTGTTTTCTGTTAATTCACAAAGCATAGAGGGCCTCATTTCTTTACCTGACAATAGAGCACTGGTTACTAGTCTCACTCACACTATAGGAATTTCATTTCTGTTGAGAATGTTTTATTCTTTTTTCTTGGTTTGACTGTTTTATTCTTTTAATTCATAACAATTGAGAACAAATTTCTTTGCTGTAAATATCACTGTTTTCTAATTATTCTCTTTCTGATCTTTTTTTTCCTTTTCACAAATGGATACCAATCATTCCTTCTCGGACCACACAATATCTCTTCCTGAAAAAAAAAAAAAATGCTATTGACTGAAATCCCTTTTGATGGACCAAATTTCCTACTTGCTACCTGCTCCTGAATGGTCTCTTCAACCAAATCTGCCTGTCTGACCAATTAAACCTTCCTCCGTTGTACACACCATGCTCTCCAAACCTTCAACCTCCCCTTCTCTTGCTGCTGCCCCCTGGAAGCCACGGAAGAGTCCTGGGCCGAGGGAGGATTCTGTATGCTGGTGAAAAAGAACAATCTCTGCCAGCGGAAAGTGCTTCAGCAGTTATGTTGCAGAACATGTACGCACAAGGGGTGAACTGACACCTCCCAGCATCCTCCTGCTCCTGTAGACTTATAGATTAATCTGTATTATTGAAAAAGGAAAAAAGGAAAAAAAAAAAAGAAAAAAAAAAAAAACCACCTTTCTCTCTCCCTGCCTCCTTGTCTGGGGAGACGGTGAACTGTTTGTTGGAACTCAAATGGAAAAACTACAACACGCCTACCTTTCATAACTGGGTGTCTAGAGCTGAGCATCCAGAATCACAGAGTCAGTATTGTGTGACCAAAGCATTTGATGCCAAAATTAACATTTAAGTCATGATTTGATTTCCTGTCAACCTTAGGATTATTCCTGTTTTTTGAAGGTCCTTTTTCTTCCCTTTTTTTCCTGCTTCTTTCCCCTTGAGATGTTTAAAGAGTGTTTTAAGAATACAACACAAGTTTACATGGATTAAAACTAAACTATAGAAAAATGTATGCATTAGTCTTTTTTGTGCTGTGTGTATTGACAGGGGGAACTTGAGTTCCTGAGGGGATCAAAAACATCATTAGCTGCAGGACTAAGTTCTGCCCCTTTTGTAACAGTATTTAAAGAAATGAAAGTAAACATTTCTGCACACACGTCTTTTCTTACTTCCTCTGCTGTGTGCTGGTTTTTGTATCACATGCAGTATGTATATATGTTCGCCCAAAATGTGGTTTTGGTCATATAGATTTCATTTTTAGACAGCTAGCTTATTAACAGATATGCTAGGATTTTTATTTTATTTTTTTAAATTGTCTAAGCTATTTCAAATAAACTTTAGAAAAAAAAAAGAAAAAAAAAAAGAAGTTGTTCCTGTAGTGAACAAATTCAAAAGATACTACTTCTTTTGGTTTGCATAAGCAAGAGTAATGTATACTCTCGGAAGTCAGAAAACATTGCTAACATGTAAGAAGTATTCATAAATTATTGTTGTCTTGTAACTTTCATAACAAAGGGGATATTATCATACAGATATGTGGAGCTATTTCATAGTGCCCATATGTAAATGCCAGTGTGACTATTTGTGACAGGATGTGTTTACAGGACTGGATTTATAATTGTGCCAAATACATCTCCAGGAATAATTACATATAGGGCAATAAATGAGTGATTCTCTTGGTGTAACAGTTGTGTCGTGATAAGCCTGAATCTGCTTTTAACTGCTCACAATATAAATTTTAGCAAGAATACTCTTGCTGAGGCCAATGGAGTTACCTCACTGTAAAACCATCCTGGGTGGTGAGAGAATTGGCTCCTGCCTTTCTCTCTTTACACAGGCACATGGCTGACAGTGCAAACTTTGTTTAATATATCTTCAGCTTAACTTAGCATACTGTTCAAAAGACAGTCATTTAGGAGAAAACATAAAATTTAATTGCGAAGATACATTTTTCAGGGGATAAAACTTAAAATACACAAAGTGTCTTTTTCAGACATCTTTCTAGGACACATAAATAGAAAATGGATTGCAAGGCCTTTAAGCATATAAATGTTAGAAAATAAAGGGGATCAAAACTGACTGTGGAAGTTTTACAAACAAATTAATACAAACCTATAGAGATAATGTGCCACCTTTAGCAGAGAGCAGATAAACAATTACAACTTGGTTTGGTATGACAGGGGGCCAGCCAGCCTCCTTTGGTGCCCGTTACAAAATTCCTGATAAACATTCAAATCTGAACGAATTCAACTTGTGCTAGTTTACCTACTAGTCTGGTACTGCCTCATTTCTCAGTATAACGTGTTTAACTAGAACATAATGCTTTCAAAGTTTAAGTTAATATTATATATATTATATATAAATATATATTCATAATTGAGATTTAATTATGTAATGGATTGTAAAGAATTTGTTTGGATACTTACAAATGTCTCTAACACTACTATAGAGAAGAAATTAAAAACTTTGTTTTCTTTAAAAAAACTGACACATTGTTATATCCAAATTCATTTTCACTGAAAAATACTGTACATGTGTAAAATGATCAGTTGTTATTTGTAAAATAGGGTAGTTCTGTTGTAATTGATATTGGCCAAAATCAATGTTATTCCATATTTTATTTTTTCTATTAAATTAACCTAAATTACTGTTCTTTTGGTCTGGAAAAACATGTTGGTAATCTATATGTAAAATATCTTTGTTGAAGGGCACAGGTAGCTTTATGGTATACATCACTACATGAAATTCATTGAAACAAATTGGGAGGGTAAGGGTGTTTAATTTTATTGTGGATTTTTTTTTTTTTTAAGTGATGGATTTATGATTGCACAAATGTCTGGGTTTTGTGGAGGACATCTTTAGTGTAGTAGCAATACAGCTACATCTGAACCCAAGCAGGTAACAACGTCAGCTTCCTCTGATTTATAAGAGTTTGTGATGAGTCTGATTTCTTGCATGCTTAGTGTGAAAAAAGTGAAATGCATAACTACCTGTTGGCTCAGACAGCTTAGGTGGAAGGTTTCATCTTTGCTGTCATACATGGTCATTTACACAGTGGGATATTGATGTCTGTTCACGTGCCAGTACTCACATCCAGTATACCTCAGATCACAACCCCAGGCTGCCGCATGAGAACAGCAGGATGTCTGTCCTGGCCCCTAGATCAAAAGCGCTCCATGTAGACTCATCTGTGACCCCAGAGTGAGATCCTCCATCAGCATTAGCTGATGCTCACATTCATTTCCCACTTTTTCCCATGACCTGAGTGGAGACCAAGGTGGCAACTTACCCAAGAAGTCATATATTCAAATGACGTTTTGAGGAGGTTCACTGAGGCCATATAAAGAATTTTCTGAAAGAAAACACCTTTCAGCTTTAAACATCTTACTGTTCCCCTTGGTTCCAAAACAAGGCGTTAGGTCATTCTCATTTTCCCTGTCAATCCTGGGAGTAAGGTGGGATGGCACATTCTTAGCATTTGTTTGGTGAGACCACAGCTGCAAAAAAGGTTGGCCTAACCCTTACACCAGTACAATAGAAAGGCTTCTTTCAGCTCACACCCCACCTTTATCTTCCAACTGTTATGAGAAATTCAATGAATCATGGTGTCTTTGATAGACAAGATTT